TGTATATAGTTACAAGAATCTTAATAAAGTACTAGCGTGGCTGCTTAAGAGCAAAAAAAAAAAAAAAAAAAAAAATAATAATAATAATAATAATAATAATAATAATAATAATAATAATAATACATAATAATTATAACGATAATAATAATCATAATGATAATAATAAACATAATAATAATAATAACGATAATAAAAATGATCCTAACAATGATAAAATAATAATAACAATAATAAAAATAATCCAAACAATGATAATAATAATAATAACAATAATAAAAATAATCCTAACAATAATAATAATAATAATAATAATAATAAAAATGATCATAACAATGATAATAATAGTGACAATAGCAGTTGTCATGTCTTGAAGACTTGATCTTTTTTATGAATGGCAATCTGTTCAATAATACCTAATACTCTCTGTTAATTAAATTTGGATGATATCATAATACAAAAAAAAGACTTACCAGACGCAATAAAAGTTTTAACAACTGAATTTTGAAAGTTGACCATATTTAAAAGATTTTTATAGTTCTTAACTATTGCAAAATATTGTAACTCCTCTTAAAGAAAAAATTTAACAGATGAACTTTGATATTAAATAATATTCCTAGTTAAGCATTTGTTTTTTTTTGCAGACTCAAATAATTAATACATACAATAATTCATTATAGCTAATTAGGTCATACCTAAAAATTAACTGAACACAAGTCTTATCAACCTATTAAGTAGGATTGTTAATGGAGTAGCATACTCCAGAGTGAACCCAACCCAAGTTAGAGTAAGTTAAAAAAGTAAACTAGAGCAACTCTAAGCAAATATGAAGTGGCTTCAGAGTAAGCTTAACCCAACCCAACCCATTAACAACCTTACTATTAAGATAACAATTCCTGGTTTACCAGTATTTCGATAATATCTATTAAATATAATCAGGTATATTAATTATATATTATAGTATTACCGGTAGTCCAAAAAGCCATGATCCATTATTTTGAATCATTCTATATTTGCTTTGTTACATATGATCTCATCTTAGTGATGTTTTGGTTCTATAAAGACAATGGTCTTTTTAACCAGTTCAAGTAGTTTTCAGTCCATAATTAAAGTCTAGTCAGGATCAGTCTATAACTTATAGCTGCCTTTTAATAGTTTATTAAAAAAGTATAAATTATTGAAGCAACAAAAATTTAGCAGATCGACCAAAATTCATAGTCGATCTGCTTAATTTTTGTTGCTTCACTAATGCTAATTTACTTTTAATTATTTACAAAAATTTACGATTCTATCAAAAATCCTAGAACAAAAAAAAAAGTTAATAACTTATTGATTCAATCATCTTCAATTTTTTTTTAGTTGTTTTAGGATTTATAATAGCATAAGCCAAAGAATCTGAAATAAATATCTTAAAATATTAGTAATTTTGAGATATCAAAATAATGCTTATCATTGATAAAATGCAAAAGGTTTTTTAACTTTCATATATATTTCTACCTTTTGAATAACTTGATAATGCTAACATGGTAATTTATTTTGAAATCAACCAATCAGGCCTACTGAAAAATTAATTAAAATTAAATTTTGTTATATGTCATACAATTATTAAAATCAATTAAATTATCAAAATAAATTGAACCCTAATTAATGACAAAATAACTGCCATTTGCCATATAGTTGCAATGAATTATTATGTGACAAATAAGAATTTACTAATTAATTGTATTAGTGAACTCTTATTTGTTACTTAAATAATTAATCATACCAAAAATTGTAATTAATTAACTGCACTACCAATCAATTAATTGAGTTCAAGAAATTGCAATTAATTGTCCCTACAATCAATTATTCGGTAGGCTTGCACCTAATAGACAGGTTTATGAACTATGGCCTGGTCTATGATCTTATGCTAGGATTTGGTCTTTAAGGCCTAACATCTCAAACTTTATTAATCAGATACTTATTCATTTGTGAAACTGCTTTTATATAATAATGAAATTTATTATGATAAAATAAATAACCAAAGTGTTAATTGAAAGTGAATTGGAAGAAAAAAAAAATAAGAAGTTTTATCAATATAAAAATGCTTCTTAAGTATTAAGAAAAGTCAAAATGTATTTAAATATCTAAACACAACTAAGAACAAAAATGCAAAAGCATATTAAAAACAAAGGATCAGATAGATGAATACATAGAAAAAAAGAATATGAATATCAATAGTTAATTATTTAATTAATATATTACCATTTTTAATTACACCTGCCAAGATAAATATAGTAAAAAAAATATATTAATAAAACAATATTTTAACACATATCAAAGAGTTTTACTTTTACATAATCTAGAAGTTATACACTTTCTTCAGCCAATGAATCTAACTGCGAGAATAATTACTAGTGATTTTAAAATTGTCTAAATAGTATACAATTTTTTCTTTGAATTCTAATCTGTATAATTGTTATTAATAAAATGTTTTTATATGATAATATATTTGTAAGAAATTCTATTCTGCTTAATATTCCAAAAGATCCCAAACAGATAGTGATTTAACTACACCAAGCCTGGGCAAAATTTTTAAATTAATTGTATATTCATTGCACTCTCTGATTGTAGTTCATATGTCCTGACCATTTTCCATAGTGATGGCTGCTGCTTTAACAGCTTGGTGTACAAAAACACCTAGCATCTTACACATTTCTGGATCTCTCTTCAGTACCAGCAAATTAATTGCTTTCAGATGCAGCTAGAGTGTTTGTTTCTATGCATTTCCATCAATAAATAGATTTAAGTCATTAATTGAAGATTCATTATTCCTAAAAATTAATAATTAATTAATTATTACATGCTATCTGAGCTCAAAATCTTTTTAGATTGATGTTAAAATTAGCTGATGTTAAAGTTAGGCAGCATTCACAATTTATGTTAAATTAGTACTATATTGTATAAAAATAGGGACCTTCTATAACAATATTGATTTAATGTAAATTGTGAATGCTGTCTTAGATTAATATTTAAAATTTAAGGCACAATGCAATTTCAGATTTCGGGTAATAGGTACAATTATAGATAGAGTGAAATTACTCTTGATAAAAAATTATTGTTAAAGTTAAAAAAAAAATAATTTCATCCCAACTATAGGTACAATAGTTACTAAGTACATACTTACCATGCGAAGTTTCTAGAAAATTGATTTGCGAGGTTTTTAATAGAAACATGAAGTTTGTGTTGATAGTTATCAAACCAGATTCCTATATCTCTAATCAATGCCAGAATATTAGGATCACTTTTCAAAATCTTACACACTTGTAAGATTAATTCTTCATATAACCTGTTTGTATTATTTCTTGTGTGTAAAAATAGGGCTTTACTTTCCTCTTGTAAGGTAAATTTCATATACTAAAATTAAAGTATTATGAGTTAATAGATTTAGTGATTATTGAAATAATAAAAGCTTTATCTGATTAATTTTAGTGGTTTTTGGAATAAAATTAAATGATTGTAGAGTATTCAAGTGCGATATAACATTATCATTATTATTCAATATATTGGTTGTCATTGCCCTTTGAATTCCTATAGCTAAATTTAAAATTCTTGGATGCTGAGCTACCTACAGTGCAATCTCGAATTTGTTAGATGCATCACAAAGCCTCATATTGGTCATTTGAGATGAATCATGTCTCTCAAAATTGCTTTCATTATCTATTAATATATAAATTTATATTATATAGTTTTATATTTGTTTAGATTAAACAATAAAATAATACCAGTAAAAAGAAAAATCAACAATTATTATAATTAGAAACATTAATATATAAAGTTATTTTGCAATATAAACTTACCCTTATTTGTAGAATTATTTGTAGATCTTAGTATAGTTTTTGAAGTCACTAACGCCATATGCGAAGTCTTGCTTGCCAAATTATCGGCTATAGACATTGTATTATGTGAAGCTCTCCTGAGCATTAACTCCTCAAATGTGTTAAAATCATTAACTAAATAAATAATGATTATAATTAATTTGATATTAATATAAGAAGATCAGTATACAGATTTTTTTTTTTTTAATATGATATATAATAAAAGTAAAAATAATTTGTACATACCATTATTAGTAGAATCTATATGATAATCTAAATATTAATAAATTAAGTACAAATAAAACGTTTGACTCTGTTTAAGTGATTATTTAAATCTCATATATTATAAATACCTGATGCCTCTTCATAATAATTATTTTTCACCAAATAGTGTTCATTTTCTTCGTCAAATAAATGTTCATTGTCTTCAATTGCGCCAATTGATTGATCTTGGTTATTCATTGATTTTTGAATACTTTGTGTGTTTTTTGAAGACGAAGCTGATGCACTAGAAACTGAACCTTTGTATTATTTTGATAGCAAATTATTAAGTATTGATGCATAGATGCAATGTTTTTTTATCTGTAAAAATGAATGAATAAATAACATACTATAAGCATTGTATACCTGGGTTTTGACAGGAGCATTGTGTTGCTGAGGTTTAGCAGGAGTTGGTTTTTTGGATAATACTAATGTAGCATGAGCTTTATTTCTGGTAAAATCTACTAATGTATTACAAGCTTTATTTCTGGTATTATCTATAAGTTTCTTATTTAATAAAAAAATAAAGAAAATTTTAAATCATATTTTACCTACTTACATGTTTTTGTAGGTGCTATAGTTAATGAGTGAACAAAAAATTTTTATTGTCTTAGTTCTTTGAATTTATATAATCGTTAACTACACTTACTTCATTTTATATTTTAACTTTATTTAACTATACATATTATACAATTATATTTACTTTTATTATGTTGTTAACATTAGTTACATTATCTACATTTCGATTATGCATTAGTAATCATATAACTTGTTTTTAATTATTAATTAAATTATTTTAGAAAAATATCAAAATTTACACTATAAAGTGATTAAAAAGAACCAAAAATCTTTATACAGACATACCGAAGTTATGAACCAGGAAGTGATATAAAGAGGAATCATTTGAAGTCTTTCAAGAACCTATATGAAAAGTGAATATAACGAATTCTGATAGTGCAGATGGTTTAGAGAATACTTTTTCTTTTGGGGAACATGATTTAATTTTAACTAATAATAAAGCTGATAATGAAGCTGATAATGAAGCTAATAATGATAAAATTTGCAATAAAACTAATGATAAAACTGAAGAGTTTGGTGAAGAATTAGATGAAGAATCAGGTGAAGAATCGGGTGATGAAGCAGAAGCATTAACAAATAAGGTCCATTATTGATAAACTTGTTAAATATGTTTTAAATATTCAAATATATTTTATTTTTTATTTTATTTTTTTTTCAAAAGAATTGGAACAAGCTGATGATCTAAATGCATACTTTATGAACATTATGTATGATCATCAGCTAAATATATTCATTAATTCTAATGAAAGATCATTGATTGATGATGTAAAGAAAGTTTCAATAAATGATAAAATTTTTGAAGAAGAATCTGCAGAATTTGAAGGGTTTAATGGAGAGTACGGACTATACTTTCCAAATTTTATGTCTATAGTGATTTATTCATAGATTATTAAGCACATGATAAGTAAGTAATATTGTATGAATTTCACAAATATATTTCTAAATTCAAAAAAGGAAATTTGATTCTAAAAAGTTACATATACTGCATATATTAATTATTTAACTTTCCATCAATATATTAACTCTTTCTGTCAATCATTTATACAAAATTTAACCTAAATTTTGTTCATATAAAACTACTAATATCTCAAAATTTTATTATGTAAACAAACTCTGGTGTCTTAAGCAAAGTTGTTCGCAACAAAATTTACATATATCACTAAAATCTTATATTATTATCTCTTAAACTCATTACAAAAAACAAAAAAATGTTTTTTTAACTATAATTAACTAAGCTTTTAACTATTTCTAAAAAACTATCTTTACAACTAACTCTACACTTCTAATAAAAATTATTTAACATACTTTTCTG